TACAATAAATCTAACTGTAAAACTTCACTTTGAACTGAACTGATTGAAAACCAGAGCTTAGAAAAACGTTTGATGTTCTATGATTGTGTAGTACATCAGAAAATTGTGAAATTCAATGTAAAAACCCTACATATACAAGTGTTCTGTTTCCCTTGAGTGTATGAAGGATGGAATGTTTTAAATATGATGGCATAAAGCAGTAAATAGTGACATTTCGATACGTAGGCGTGTTGAGAATTCTATTCTCCACGCATATTAGGTCTATGTGCTCAGTATTTTAGATGTTAGTCCAGATTTCAACTCTAGTGCAGCTATAGAGCTGAAACAGTTTAAATCAAAAGAGGAAACAATAGTGCACACAGACAACTGCATCACTTTTAAAACGTGCGTCAGTGAAGATATACATAATAACAGTAGTAGTCACTACTCACTCAAGGTGATCCATAGAGACCCAGGTAGATCTGAACAATTTAAATACTTGACAGCTGTTTCACTCATTTGAAAACGAGCCAGCTCGTCAGCAATGTACTCAGAAAAAACCAACTCACAGAGTGAGGTGAATTGTTCAGATCATCTGAATCTGGCTATCTGACTTGGGTTTTTGCTATGGCGTGATTTCTAATGAAAAATGTATTGACAAAACAGTTGGGAAGTTAAAAAATACTCACCTGTGGGAAATATCACCACGCAACGTGCAATTTTTATATCGTCTACAAAGTTTTTTATTCTATTGGGTGCTAAATAGTATTTAGAGAGGATTTCACTCAACGACTGCAGCGGTATGACAAGTGTGACTTAAACTCACTCTATAAGGCACTTGAGCCGCAGTCACCAGTTCGAGAAGACCGATTAGTAGGCGTATGTAGCGCCTAGCTTGGTACAGGTGCCTGTCTACATGTAGGTGTAAGATTGTAAGCGTTTCTGTTTTCATCGGCTTAGTGCACCTTTAAATTAGCGCGGTATTTATCAAGACGCCTTACTGATGTTCCTGTGGTGCATCAAAACAAATCGATCTGATCATAGAAAAAGAGAGAGAGATGGAAATACTGAAAGTTACGGCTGTTGAAAGCTATCCTTTCACGAATGCCTCCATGTTTTTCAACCGCTCAGATGTGTTGTCAACACAGTTTCTGCTGGAAAACATCTCGCAGTCAAGAACACAATGTGTGAACTCTGACACAAAAATTGTATGAACTATCGAAAATAAATAGCTGGGAACCACTCACGCTGATATCAAGATTTCGCTAGCCAGATCAATACACCTGGAAACTGAGATGTAAGTATTTACCGCTTTATGCCATCTATCTGTAAAACATCCCACGTTTCATATACTCAAGGAAGATAGAACACCCGTATGCACAAAGTTTTTCATTGAATTTCACAATTTCCTCTTGTATCTAAGAATCACATCCTTTAGAAAAGAATTCAGTATGCGTTTTTGTCACGGACTGACATCGACCTAAGAACCACTGGAAACCTGAGAGGAGGGGATAGTTGTCTTTTACTGGATTTTTACCTCTTATTTGTGCACCTCAAACTAGGTCTGAAAAGCTGTCTAGTACTCTCAGATCTCAAACGTTTCTCTGTTGATCTTGATTTGTGATTTAAGCCTTTTGATTTATATTGGCTTGTTTAAAGTGAAGAATATTTTCTTCCCAAAAATGTTGAGATTCTACCATTTGAGGTTGGACCGACGTTTCTTATCCTGATGATTTTGAAACTATAGCAATCTAAGTATGCAATGAGATTTCAACTTGAAAAACGTGGGATCTCCGGCTAAAAATCTTCATTTGTGTGGTTCTTGACCCATCTGACTGACGTCGTCTAATTTGAGCATTTTAACAAAAATATAAGTCTGTTAGGGAAGAAAATGATTATCCTGGATTCTATCTCCCTATTAACAAATTTCTCTCTAAAGGAAACTATTTATTTTCTTTGTAGCTTCACTCAGTCTCATAAATTAAACATTGGTATCTCAAATCACTATCTAAAGGAACTTCTCCTCAGATGTACTTTCAATGTGCCCTTCAGATAGACGGTCATGGCAATGAGATCGCCTTTAAGATCTCTCCTAGCTGACAGCTTTCAGACAACCCTGGAAGACACGACATTATCGAGAATAACCAATGAGCTTCATTTCTATAAAAGATACATAGATGATAACTTTACTAGTTGTGACGAGAATATGGACCTCGAAAATCTGCTTCAAAACTTCAATAGTGCTTATTCCTTTAGCAAATTCACTCGGAAAGAATAGTTGAACGCGAAATTTTACTTAATTGACGACCAACTTCAAGAAAAATATAACAATTCACTTCAGAGATCCATTTACAGGAAAGGAAGCCCACTTGGATAGGGCAGTTTATTAATTTTCAAAGCTGTGTGCTCTTAAGCAGCAAGAGGACTCAGTTCACTCTTCTGTAGAATACAAAGAATATCCATGGAGGATACTACATGTGGTGTACTAGAAAACATGCAAGAAATCCTGATACAAGATGGACATCCACTGAAATTTATCTAAAGCCAAAAAACGCCACAGTACGCGTGCACACTGCTCCGGAAAAGATTTTACTATTGGACCTCGAATTCAAAGGAGATAATGCTGCAAATATACTTAGAAAAAAACTGTCAAGATCCATAAACAGAACATTCTTTGTCGTCAATCTTAGAATCGCATTCTCCTATCAGAAACTCATTCGTCAGCATGCAAATGATAAGCCGGAGTATTGGGCCACATCACTGTGTGTATATCAGTTTACTTGCTTCTATGGAGCCAAGTATGTTGACCGTACTATGTACCAGCTTTTTGCAACGCATTGGCAAACACTATCATAGGAAGAAAGGAAACGCATCCTACAAAATTCTGCACAAAGTGTGACAAAGTCACTTGGAAGATGTTAGGCTAAGACATCTGAGTATAGCTGATGCATTAGTAATTCAAAGCTTCAAACCATCATTATGCTGTCAAGAGAGGACCGTGTAACCTCTTTCTTTGCCATGGCCATAGGAAATTATCGATCAATCTATATAACTCATTTTTGACGTAACTTTCCTTTGTGAGACAATTTATATTTACCTCTGACCAGCAGGAATCACTCTGGAATTTTATATCCCTTTTACTAATATATTCACAAATGTACAGTTGAGGGAATGACTTCATCAAAAAGAAAAGTTTTTCTTCGCTGCGGTCATGTTTTTTCCAATGTTTAAATGGGATTATTTCGAAACTTTACCAACCTTTGTTTGGTTGTTCTTTTCCTTCACTTATTCTTCCTATTGGTTATAAGATTATTTCATTTTCATTATCTTACTTTTCCTATGCAACTGAAAAATATGGTGACTTCAACTGATTTCAAATTCATTCGTTTATGCTACCCTCAGTATTGACCGATAGTGACCTAGGATGCATAGTAAGTTATAATCTGAAGATTATAGCACACTGTCGATTGATCACTCCCTAAAGTCTTAGGACAGTTTCTGCACTGAACAGAACGTTTACAAATGTAAGTGATGATATGTTCACCATCTTATGCATATCCTTGGTTAGGTCTAAACTAAAAAAACTACACATTAACGAAAATTCTTCGTCCGAAAGGTGACCAAGACTTTCAGGAAAGACTTTAGAGGATCCGTGCAACGTCTGGCCTGACCTACGAAGGTCGACTTAATGAGCTGAACTTCTCTTTATTATCACAGACAAAGAGGATGTTAAGAAATGACTTTGAACCAAATCTATATATGTTTCTTCCTATCAGATCGGAACACCATTGAGGATATAGCAGGCGAATTCGAAAGGAACCAACTCCCAGATGAAGCAGCATCCACATCACAAGCTGACTCGTTTGGAAGAGGACTGGACAGGCAAAACGATCTACTGAAAGAAGAATAATATAAACTCATAGCCTTATGTCCTCAAACTACAAATATCAATCTCAATCTGCCTTCTGTTGCTATTTGGGTTTCATTTCGACTACCTTCAAGAGCATGAAACTTTAAAAATGGTCAAACCAGTATACTTTCATGTAAGCGTCATAGCGGCAGTTTTTTTGTAATGAGTTCCAGGCATTTTGTTGGTTTTTACTCGATTCTTCATGTAGTAAATGTCACTTAGTTGATCATTAATATTTGCATTGATATTAATGATGGTTAGTGGCTAACAATAAAATGCAGAACGCATGTTTGACCCTATTTTAGACTTGTCACCTATTACTAGGACTTGAACTAAGGATCAGAAGCTTCAATGGTCAGAGTATTATCCACCAAACCACTGAGTCTCAGTGGTCTCTGTGACTTACATCCATCTGATTTAATCTCTATTTATCCACCATAATGACTGTTAAGGTATTGAAATAGTTTTACATTATGTCTTACTTTGGCTATCCTATTTCACCTGTTCTGATGAATTTATAACTGTGGAGCCTGAAAAGGTAGGAAGTTATTGAAAACAATTGTTCACTCAAATTCTTCTTCTTCTGAATAATTCAGGAGGATCTTTAAAAGATCTACGTTGAACTTTAACTTTCAAGACTACTTAACTGTTTGTATAGCTCTGTTTGATGAGTTTTCGGTAGGTTGACCTTGAACTCGAATTCAAAATCTCAACAGAAAATACTGTAATCTCGTTGACTTTTCTGATAAAATCTCCTTGCTTCACTACAGCCGAGTAAATGTTCCGTATTCATATAACCATAGTCATTAGTAATGATTAATTTTGAGTTGTCTCTAAATACTCATCTCATTCATTAGTACATACCGAAACAAAAATAGGATAAATTACAATTGCAAAGCAATCCGTTAGTCTTTATATGACAGTGAATTAAATGCCATTTCAATGACTAAAAGTTTGATATGTCCTAAATAAATACCATCACATTATTGTCGTCATTGCTACTACTAACAACAATATTAGTAGTACTCTCATTTCAGAAAAAACTGTACCTACATCAGTTACAACAAAACACATGATTATTTCTATTCTAGAAAATAAAAAGATGACTTACTATGCTTCATTTTGAAGTTGACAATTTAAACTTATCTCTTCAAGAGTTGGAAGCATTTTTGCATCAAATTTGAAAAGAATACTTTTGTGTAAGAAAACACCAGAGTTTTCAAATTTAAACAAAATTTAAAGCCGATTAAATGTTTCAATGTTCCGAAAAATGTTAACTCAACAGTTAATGTCTGAAGATTGTTAGCACAATTCTGATGATGACATGAGTTGATTTACAATAATGTGTACAAAAATAAGTAAATCAATGAAAATGGAATACGCAATTAGACCATAGTATCAATTGATTTTATTCTGACCACCCGGTTGTGTTTGCAACCCGCGTGTAGTATTTAAAGTCACAAAAAGTTTTTATTTTATACATATATGTGGGTGCCTAAAAATTTTTTTCTATTTTTTTTTTTTGCATTTTGGATCACCTGATTTACCAACCAAGAAAAACAAATTCGTTTTTACCGTTGCCAAGTTATTCCTTTTAAAGACTTAACAATGTCTATTGCATTTTGTGTATGTGTGTATGACTGGGTGTATGGAATGAGACAGAATCATTCGGATTGTGATTGGTTCAAATTTTCAACTGACCAATCAGAATAGAACGGATACATTGACTGACATACTTTCATATAAATAAATATAAGAACATATTTGTTTTGTTAAACTTGATCTTTTAAGGCGTAGACATGAGTCATCATATAATTATGACTAAAACAGAACAGCAACAAAAGAACATTAGTTTTACCTGCAGAAGCATGAGTAAGAGAGGAACAAGTGGTAGAACAATGACCGGATTATTATTATTGTTATTATTATTAATATTATTCACAATACTATTATTACTATGGTAGTAATAATGAGTAGGGGAAAGAAAGGTAGAGTTGACTCCACATTACGTTTACTTAGCTGGTAAACACCCAAAAGGAGATTAGTGTATATGAATGTTACATTTTTTTTCAATATATTTAAAGGGAATATGTCTCTACATAAAATTTAATAAAAGAATGGGGGGGAAAATCAATAATATCAAAATAGAATGTTAGTTATGACACTCCTACCAATGAATATTTTTGTCTTGAATGGTAAAATAAATAATTAACTTGGAATAAAAACAGGCACGCAGAAAAATGTGTGTCACACACTTGGGTGTGATTAGATAGCCAAAACTATTGATGATACGTTTTCTTGAGGGATGATTCCAATGTAGGGACTTAATTCTCTTGTTGAGAGATCATTTGAGAGCAGCCAATTTCATAATCTCTAGACCTCAGTTCTGGATGGATTCCATTGATCATCTAGCAGTATGACCGCCAAATTGGGAGGCTCATCATCACAGTGCACTTTGAAAGGGTTTTTTTGGTTGGAGGCGAACGATAGAAAAGCGACTCTGAAACCATGAGGGGACTGACGTTCTGCCTGAGATTCAAATCCGAGTCACCCAGTGCTGCTATTGAAGACGTAACCAGGGAGCTTCACGGGCCACAATCAACCTCCTGCAAGACTGCAGATAGGCTATGCTTACAAGTAAGTGCCAAAAAGCACGAAACATAGGTCGCAAAGGACTTTCTACTGATTACCTTTGTTTAACTAATATTTATTTAGGTATATCATTGTGAAGAGTCTCCTGGTCTGGCGGCGACACTGCAAAATAATTCATAGGATTTGATCAGCCCTCAGAACTAAAGAAAACATGAAGTTGGCTACCCTTCAGGGACCAACCCATGTACATTACTTAAGAGGCGGGGAGGAACTTTTTTTGAGTAGATTAATAGAAATCGACTACATGTTTTCTTTTAAACTTATTTTCAGATAAAGTGGGATAATTTTCCATTTTCATTCCGGCCCGGTATAGCAAAGGGAAATTACAAGTATCATTACAAAAACTGATACCCGTTGCATGAGAGGTGGTAATCATGCCCCAGTGGCTTAGTGAATAACACTCTGTTTGAAGCACTCGGTCCTGAGTTCGAATCCCCTTGGGAACAACCTTACTCACTGGAGTGCAGATACATTCAGCTGCCAAGTCCCAAATAGGACGAAAAGTGAGTCCTGGACACCTCTGCTAGTCACCAAGATTAATATAACTCAAAAATTTATGATTATATTACCCTATCAATTCAAAGCTGATTATTTACTGATTGTCTCCTGTGAAAGAACCATTACAAATCATAAAGAATTATTTCACACTTAAGTATTAAGTTTACAGTTCACTAAGAAGTATTAAAATACATTGATAAATTCACAATACTGGATGAATAAACTCTCCGATTTGCCGGTATTATTGCATTTTCTATTCCTGAGACCTGGTTTTCAACAGATAGATCTTACAAGTATCTAGGTGGTAGATTCTGTGACTTCATCAATGATCGACTCACCAGGTACAAATCTACAAGTGAAAATAAGTGTTCTCAAGTTTGCAAATATTTCTCATTAGTGAGTGTTAACAATCTGTAAATCCAAGTGAAATAGATTTCTTCAAAGTATTCACTTCTAGTATGAAAGATTAAACTACAATATACCATACTCTTATAGCTTCATGTCAATATTCTAAGCACGATCGATCAATGGACTTTGGTCAACACTGAAGTCTTGACAAATATTTTAGTTACCAACCCCATCTACCAAACACAGTTTTATTTCGTATATCCATTAAAAGTTTATTTTATTAGGTGGAATAGCAATCAGTTTAGTGGGTTAGTTGTATAATCAAATGAATATAGACAGAAAAGTTAAGAACTAAGAGGACTAAACCTGGAAATAATGACTCATTTACACACACAGTGTGTGTGTGTGTGTATTTACCTGATGAAGTTTTAAGCATAAATTATCATTGTAGCAGGTGCAATCCAATTCACTTACGAGGTTGAAAATAAACTAGGAGAATTACCTATGTTCCGTTGCAGGATAAAACGAAGGACAGATGATGGTTTGGATAATACCATCTACATAAAACCGACACCTTTCTACATTTCTTCAAGTCATCTCATCCAGTGTCAGTCAGTTAAGGAAGGTTTAGTCAAATGTCTAAATGGTAGAGCTAGAAAACTGATTAGTCATTGCAAGGACCTAAACAAGGAACTGAAACACATAAAAGAAGCGCCAATATTTGATAATTATGTTCCACAGTTCATTAATAAATTCGTACGAACACATAAGAATTGAAATAAAAACAGTAACACGAGTAGAAAGGAACTCACAGCCTCCTATAAGGAAGGTACATCAGAAACTTTACGTAGGATCCTGAAAAAAGTTGAAATTAAGGTAGCATTTAGACCTTAAAGCACGCTCAGAGATAACCTTTCTCAGCTAGCTTGAGGATCCTATAGAACCAACTAGGCAAAGTAAACGACTCTATCAAATTCCATGTAATTACTTTGAGATCAAGTACAGAGGTAAAACTAGCCGATTGCAGTTAATTAGAATGGTGAAACATAGGAACTTACCTAAATATAAAATGACAGACCCGAATAAGATCAATAATCTAGAGAAAAACTGACCTATTACAATGTATGCATTAACATGCAACCACACAATAAGATGGGTATGATAAAACCACTGTACTTAAGTTCAGTATAATTAGGTAGGTAGGTGTGGGGTGGTATGTATGTATGTATGTATGTATGTATGTATGTATGTATGTATGTAGGTAGGTAGGTAGGTAGGTAGGTAGGTAGGTAGGTAGGTAGGTAGGTAGGTAGGTAGGTAGGTAGGTAGGTAGGTAGGTAGGTAGGTAGGTAGGTAGGTAGGTAGGTAGGTAGGTAGGTAGGTAGGTAGGTAGGTAGGTAGGTAGGTAGGTAGGTAGGTAGGTAGGTAGGTAGGTAGGTAGGTAGGTAGGTAGGTAGGTAGGTAGGTCAAAAGGGAGAGAGAGAGAGGTGGGGATTAATTACTGGATCTTTGTTCATCGAATCCGCTAACAGCCCAGCACATGTAGTGGGAATGAAGCAACACCTATACCAGAGATATGGAAAATTTTACTAGGAACAGAGACAAAGAATATTAGGTGACAGGACTATAAAAATCAGATGATTAATATGTTAATGAGTAATAATAATTTATGCTCGAAAAGTTATTGAGTAAATACTAGTGTATCACTGTGTTATAAATTAAATAAACAAATCTAATATGGAATTACATTTTACCACAGTGCCCAAATTTTAAACTTTTACTAATTGTGTGTTTTTTTTTTACTAAGGATCAAATAATCATTACATGACAATGAGTTATATATATATATATATATATATATATATATATATATATATATATATAATGCAGTTTCCCTTGAATGCGGACCGTTGATGTCTAACTCACTGGCTCAACAGTAACATACTTGCCGCAAAAACTTAAGGTGCTAGTAGGATCACTGGTATGCACCGCTGAGGAGTCTCATAGTAGGGCGAAACCACCATCCAGGTTTTCAATGCTTCTCTAGCTGATATCACTCCATGATGAATAGCAACTTGAAATACACATAGTGATGGTGACCTGCCATACGATATGAATGTAGTATGAGTAAGAAAAGTGTCAAAACAAGAGCGGGAAAGATGCCTGGCTGGTTACAGAAGTACATGTTCTCAAGCTTATAAAACATTGAAACAAAAATCTACAGATCCTATAGTTATCGCATCAATATTCAGTTGATAGTTTGTAGTTATATGATTTATGATTCAGAAATTCCCTACACGTCAAAAATTGGCTCAATACTAAAGTCCTCATAGAACACTTAAAGGTTTTTTATCACAAGTTTAGAGGATTGAAAATGTGTGTTGCCGAAGGATTCTAATTTTGTTTGTACACCATATTGCCTTAGTGATACTCTGACTTTATTCAGTTAGCGGCTAAAACTCCAATGACATAAATCACAAGTAGAAAAACTAACCAATAAATGATGAGTGGTTATCACATAGACTCTAAGAGTCTCAGAAAGGTTTCATCGCATACAAGGTCCGAAAAAGGGAAGATTTCTGGTTTTTAACTCGATATATTATCAACTGAAAATCAGTGCCTGGAAATGGTTGCATATTATTTGTTAGGATTCTCTCAATAAAAAACCTAACATTAAAACCAGACAGATATCACGTTTCTTAAGATATTCACTAATTACCTTGTTCCTATAACTTCTGGATGACAAATCTATTTGAATAAATGGATTTTGAACAAACTACATCGCTTCAGGTGAAACTTCTGTCTGTAAGAAAACTTTCTTCAGATACCTGAAAGTAACTTGAAAGAAAGAAATTTGTTTCCTAACTTCTGGTTTGAGAACTGTAATACAGTCCAAGTAATAAACTTTAATCTACGACTGTGAGTCTGCTTTCTCATAGATATCAATAAAACAGTTATCAACTCTACTCAAAGATTCCACCTATTTGGATCAAACTAATATCTTCCGTAGGTACGTGGCGTGACAATGACTTGCCTAGGCTTGATGTATACCACGAAAAACAGGTCT